GGTAACCTGGATTCAACTTAGCCTTAAATGATTTTGGCAAACGGAAACGATTCAATACTTATCATCAGATAAATCTTCACAATCAATTTCACAATATTTTGATTTAATAACCGCGCAAACCATTTAAAATTAAAACAACCAATTTGCCTAAATTGAGATTTACAACCGGAATGACGTATGGTGCTTTGCAAACAATTGTGATTTTTACCCTAGAAGTTATGCCTCCTTTGAATCCCTTGCTATCCGGGCCAACTCGTCTTCATATAATCAGGCTCTTAATCTCACTTATTATCACAATACAACTTTCTAGCATCAGCCCGGTTACACGATTACGTGACAAATTTTTCAGACCGGGCTGAGTCTCAGCCAATGTCCACTGAGTAAATTTAAACGGTCTCGTGAGACCGTGTAAATCACTAAACGGGGGATAAAGCGGCTGATAGAATTTATAGACGTGAAATACCATGTGAAATAGACGACAGGAGTTTTAACGTACTACACTGACAACGAGCAACAAGTTGCACGAACGCTGTCACTTTAGTCATAAACTACTGGCTAAACATAACATGTCTTGTCCAAAACCATGTCCAACCGAGTAAAAAAACAATTTATCGGCGTCTTGTAAGCTTTGTATGAAATTTTCAATCGTTTTTCTGTAATTAATATGAAGATATGATCAAGATATCATGTTTTTCGGAGTCTCTTTACACCATGTCGTATCAAAAACAAATTAAGTTCACTAAATCGCACAGTCAGCAAGCGTCTGGGATAAAATAAGACTTCATACCTCCAAAATTTTTTAGATCCTAAGGCTTTAAGCAAGTAAATGAATTTACTTGATTGTATTAAATACACCAAAAGCTTTACCTGTCGATAGTTAAATAGTATAGAGAACAACTAATATCGTAATACGTATGTGATTACCATATTGCCTGCCAGTAAATTGCTTTTTTGTCCAATAGGACTAACGATATGGCTAACGGCAGTCAGTAAACTACTTAAATATACAGCAGCCAGTTGCACAACAATGTGGCCCTACTCTATAATTCTATACTGTGGTTAAGCACAGTATAAACATGTAACAGAAGGCTCACTCGGCTAAAATTCAGGCGTATTTTTTTACTACTGATGCGTGAATCCCAGCAAGATACTTTCACAAAATCAATATGTAATAGTATTGCACGAGGATGTTATTTAACTAATAGTTCACGTTTAAAGCAAAAGTTTGCCGAAATTTTTACAAAATGTTATCATCTTGCAAAGACGATAAGGTTGCAAGCTTTTGTAGTGAAAAGCGATGTATTTGTAAAAACTTGTGTATCTTCTATGTTGATATAGCAGAGTTATCTTGCGTGTCTCCTTAGAATTTGCTTCAGGAAAGTGGGAGACAAGAACATCAAAGGCACTGACACGAGTTGACCTTCTGTTATAACATCTATTTTGTGATTAAATGCTTAGCTAAACGGTGTTCGTGCAACGCAATTTTACTCATCGTTTAACTAGCCAACGAATAGGGAATTTATACGGTTTGTATTGGCTAAACGTCATTTAGTTTAAACGTCTTTCGCACAACCAGCCACAGGATAATTAACAACTTGTCAGTTCAAGTTGAAAAATAAACAATATTAGAGAAGATAATTGTTTGTTTTCAATATCAAAAATTCAAAAATGTTAAGATTTTTTAAAGCATTGTCATGAAATCACAGACAAGAAATATCAGTTGTGTGGTGACTAAAGATGGATAATATTAACTATAAAGATAATGCTTATCCAACTCTGTTATCACTCGACCCGGTCTGATGGAAATCGGTTACTAGTGTAATTGAGCGTCAGTATTTCGAAGTCGAAAGAACGTCGAAATAGAGTCTAAACAACGACTTCGAGTGAGCGTTAGTATTTAAACGTTGAAAAAAGGTCGAAATAGAGTCGAAGCAACCACGCCGATTGATCGTCTGTATTTCAACGTTGAAAGAGCGTCGAAATAGAGTCGAAACAACGACGTCGATTGAGCGTCGGTATTTCGACGTGGAAAGAACGTCGAAATTACGTCGATCTACGTCGCAATGTCATTTCGACTCGATTTAGACGTCGATCCGCAGTCGATTGCCCACTGGGAAAGCATTTTGGAAAATACCCATGAAACGTAAACGCCTAAACCTAATCTGATGTTTCGTCCTTTAACTAAAAAATTTCAATGCTGTTGTAGATTTTAGGTGTAATATTTGCTGCTGTTTTCGTTCAAGATATTTTTTTAACATTATATTATCATTCTTAGATTTCTAGATTAAAAGACTCATCTCAATCCTCTGCACAGTTGACCTCCTCAAGAGGTGTAGTTTTGACTCCTACAGGATGAACGTCATGTTTCTCCTTTGCCGTTGTATTTTTTCCCTGATTGTAATAAGACTTCAAGATAGCTTTTTGCAAGTCATTTAATACTTCATACTGCATTCCAGTACTAGTTGCCGCCATGTTCATAAGGTACACGTGTGTCGTGTTCATGTCGTGTGTTGGTGATATATAGATAGCATATATAAATCAAAATGGCGTCAATAAGAATGCTTAGAGGATCTCCTACATCACATACATGCGACGTTCTCAAGTTAAGAAGTCTTGCTTCAGACATTTAGAACATGCAACACGGGTGTCATTACAGTATATTGGACTTAGATGTAGTATCTCAATTCCTCTTCAAATAAACTTAATGATAGTCTGCTCAACCGGAATTTTTTTTCCATTCCCGAGGGACAACTATTTCCTCATCAAAGTTATTCGATTAAGCATTTGTTCGTGTTGGTCTTACCCAAATATTTTGTTCTTTTGGTGCAAATTTGACCGTCTTGTTATCTGATTCTTACGTCATTTTATTGCGTGTACAGGAAATGTGTGGGTGTCAATTGTTTATTGTCATTGTGAATTAATGTGAAGCGAGTTGTTTTTAGTTGTGATGTGTGATTTAGGTGTGATGTTTTTAGTTGTAACAGACACGTTTTCATTTTGTAGTGTATACGTTTTTGAGCGTGTCAGTGCTGACGGAGGCCAAAACGCATCAAAATGCATCAGTGTGGACAGAGAGTAACTGTGATTATACAGTTATGTGTGACACTCTATTTTGTTGGTTTATGTCAAATTATACTAACGGATGATAGCTACACCACAAAACCTAAAATGTAACACCAAAGAAAAACGTCAGTTCTACCCCAACGCCATTCTCTCTGGACTGAATACCAAAGTGTTGAATTTTAATCATTTCCTTTCATTCGAAAAGGAAGTTGAGAAGTTTATGTAGCAGTATAAGTTAGATTGCTTGAAGTGAAATTTTATCGGTAAAATTTATATGCAATGTATTTGCAAAATATTTTAGAAAATCCTGAAAGGCACAGCGCTTTGCGATTGAAACTGATACAAGTTTTACTCCCGAGTTCACTCTTAATATAGAAGGATCTACTCCCACGTATCTATTCCACAGTCACTAGTCATTAGCTAACAGTAAACAGTCCTTATTTCACATCCCAACGTCAACAGTCTACAGTCCACAGTCCAGTCCAGGTTTTAACACATGCCTTAATGAAAACTTTAACAATTTCAAGTAATAACACAAGATTTAAGACCCATGGTATAGAAGCTAACCAAGTATATCAAAATATGAGTTTAGTCTTACCACAATATTCGACCAGAATACAACAAAGTATACAGTATACTACAGAATTATTTAGATCTAAGAATCGGCTAAGTATAAGGTTCATCGCTTATTCATTCAATTGGAAAAGCAATTCATTTTTGTTAGTACTTAATGCTTGATTTGTCAGAGAAGACTTCACATTTCCTGCAATTATTATTTATGATTAAAGAAGAAGCAAATTCTAAATTAAGTAGTTTAAACACAATTTGATGATATGATTTCAAAGGATAGTTGCTTGTTGTACGCAGTTTTCTTTGTGTTCCGTGCAGGCGCAGAAACAGTGGAAGATTTTACTTCACTTTATTTGAAAGAGTTAGGCTACGATGAATTTTATATTGGTTTAATACCTTTGTTTGGTCTGGTGACACAGTTGACTGGCGTTCCTATTTGTGGTTATTTGGCAGATAAATATCAAATGCGTAAGTTTATTTTAATTTTGGCAGTTTTGATAAACATACCAACAGTCTTGATGTATGTAGTTCCCAGAGAGATAAATTTACCATGCAAAACAACGAGTCGTAAAGAAGAAAGCAAGTTATTTTACAACGAGACACAAGCAGAGTTCATAAATCGGTCCTTAAATTTAAAGGAGTACACAAATGCAAGTAATTATATGACTTTAAATAACTTGACAGACTACAAAGACGCGTGGAGCGATGGTAGTGGTCTGCGACTTTGGTATTTTGTGTTTTTATGCTTTTTGAGTGGAATTTTTGAACTATGTCGAAGACTGGCAGTTGGATTGGTAACTGTTGCTGCTGTAAATTATGCTAATAATAACAAATTCAAGTTTACTTGCTGCTTTGGATGCGGTAATATAGGAGCAGGATTAACAATTTGCACTGTGTCAATTGCTGCAGGATATTTTAAATACACGAGATGTGCTGTAGAAACACCAAGTTTTTCTATTGCATTTCCAGTGGCAGCAGCTCTGCATTGTTTCATTTTATTTGGGGTATTATGGTTGAAGTTTGATTACGAAGAAAAGATGGAAAAGATTCACTTAAGTGAAGCAATTAGGACTTTAATGAAACGGGAACATATTTTTATTCTGTGCATTGGTTTACATGTGGGTGCTTGTGACGGATTTTTTAGTCGTTGGCAGTATTGGTATTTGTTGAAAATTGGTGCAAGTACAACATTTATGGGTGTAGAAAGACTTCTAGAGCGGCTGATATTGGCACCATTTTGGTATCTTGCTACTAGTCAGGTACTTAACCATTTGGGGAAGCACATTACAATGACACTTTCTCTTCTTTTGTTTGCTGTTTCATTTGCTTTTCTTGCATTGATGGAAAATCCATGGCTTGTAGTTTTTGTTGACAACTTTGCGATGCCAGGCTATACCTTATTTTATACAGCTGCAGTTTTTCATTTCTCAAATTCGGAGTCGGAATCACTGTTTGCACACATTCAAGGTTAGTGTAAACATGCTTATAGAAGCAGACTTAAATTCATCACTATATAGTTAAAAGCCATTCGATATTATTTTTAAAAACTGTACGGAACACTTTGTAGATTTATGCTAGTTTTTTTTTTCAGAAAAGACATAATTAAGCAGCACTAAATTACGCCATGCAACATGGATCATGACTATTCTCCAGTTATTTGTCTTTAAGATGATAATACTTATAGACCGTGGTGAATCTTTAAAAGATGCTATTCCGTTGCACCCCTAGCGAGGCCACATAATTTTTACACTAAAAAGTAGATAACAATATTTTTAACCAGAATCTGTTGCTCTTAAAGCAAAAACAGTGCACAATTAAAAGAAATATTTTCTCAAAGTTTGCGCTGTAAGAGTTTTGATAAATAAAGATTTCCATTATTTTGTGCCATCTACGCATGCGCACACTTGAAAAGCCTGTTCTACGAACGCACAATTAGGATGATAAGTTTCCTCGAAGGTTTTCTCTCTTTTTTGTTAAAGTAATTTCAGTTTGGTTTGATTGTCGAAAACTTTGCGATGAAATTGACGAAATCAAAAAAAAACGGAAAATAATTTGCTGACAATTTCTTCAAATTGGCTCTTAACAAAGAGCAACTAGTAATGCTTCTGATACTTCACAATAATAGAAAAAAGAAGGGTATGATGAAGTATCGTAAACAATTTTGAGTTGGTCAAGTTTTTTGCATACGGGAAGTTTATGGAGAATTTTATTGCTTGATGAAAGAACTTGCGCCTTTTGACAACCAGCTGTTTTTATAAATGTTCTGCATGGTTCAATATGAAAAAATTCTTATTGTTCAGCAGGATTTGCTGATTAAAAATCAATGATCAGCAAGTGAATGTTTCATGGAAAAATATTGTTGAAGACGACACAAGTCAATTACCTGTATTGATTAAAATAACTACATACTAATAACGCAGCGATTTGATTAGTTTCCTTGTTTTCCTGTTTGCTATCACTTGACCGACGTTTTTACTTTTTCTGGCCAAATAACATTTGTTATGTTCACGCAAGCGTACATTTATTTCGCGCTGAAAATTTCGTACTTTGCAGAGTAGTGTCACCTATGGAATCACATCTTTACGTTGAACAAAGAGAAACAATTTAAAATTCGTTATAAAAGACTGTTAATTGTTGGTTTAAAACACTGTCTTACTAACAGCTAATTTTCAAGCAATACAGTACAAGTTTTCAAGGCTAAAAGTCCATGTTTATCAAACATAGGCTCACAAAGTGAGATAATGACATTGTTACGCTAACATTTATAATCCCGTGTGTTTTTTAAAATATTTTGTCTTAAGCATTAGACAGCATTTAGTTTTGCCAAGTACTAAGACTTTTCCTTTTAAGTGCCATTACTTATCAAATGAGCAACATTTGATAAATACATTTGTTACGTTACATTTTATGGTAATTATATACACTTTGAAATTTATATTTAAGATATAAAAGGAAAAACAGTGCAAAAATGCTTACATGCTGCTCAATACTACTTATATCAAATCTTGTGAACACCTCTACTTGAATAGTTAATGCTTTTCTAAATAAGTGTAATGAAAATATTTTTATTATGATACTAATAATGGTTTTTGACAAAGAATACTCTAATTCCAATTTTTTGAAAATTTCCTCAATCCTATTCCACATTTTATTCACTGTTGGTATTGCTGTTGGGAAGCATTAATTTTAGGTAAATTACGAATTTTTGTCTTTGTAGGAATGCTTTTTTTAATACTTACCTGAATCCTGAATCCTGAACAAATTGGAATCATGTTAATTCTGCATATATATCTGTAATAGCGAAATGCAAGGTCTTTATTTTAGTATCGACCTGTGCTAGTAAATGAAGTTCTTTTCTAATTTCCCTATTCTACATAGCATTGTACAACCTACAGTTTTACTTTTCCACAGAAAATGAAGACTGATATCTTTTGATGGTGCTTGATCTTGCTATGTTTTCTCATTTTGACAACTCAGTTACTGTAGTTTGTTCCAATGGAAAAGTATTATTTCAGTTATAAGAGTTGTTCCTCTTGCAGTCAAGTTCAAGTCAGTGCCTTTTTTATTCAAAAATTATCATAGTTATTAAAGAAATAATACTTGGAACATCTCTAGCTGTCTTATAACTTTATATACAAATGAATGTGACATAAATGTCCAAAACAATTAACTAGAGAAAGTACTGAATCTAAATCTGTCATTTGTGTATAGGTAATAGCAAATATTATGCTTTTAATGCAGATTCACATTAGATAAAAATTGCTGTATAGATTCACAATGCTTTTAATGCAGATCTAAAAAGTCTTGAACAAGTAATAACGTTCGTCTGGCATTGTCCTTGCACCCATTTTATAGATAAAAATTTATATGGAAGTAAACAAACATTTTCAGATACTTTAAACCCAAACTCTACAATGTAGTGCAATTTAATATGTAGCAGTTACAGTTATCACGGCATAGCTTGTCCATTGTGAACCAAGATACGCCTCTTCGACAAATACTACAAATCTTTGGGAGGATATATTTCATATTTGTTTGTCTTAGATATGATCTTTATATTATTAGTGAATAATTGATGGCAAGTTTTTCGAATTAGATCTAAATTTACATGATGGCCGAAAGTATGGTCAAAGTGTTCATTTGTATGAATTTATTTATTGATGAATTATCTATCATACGATTTCTCATCTATTTCAGCCAGTTGACATTTAAGTTTAGCTTGTTTAGATATGCATTCATGAAATTTCTTTACCCGTTGGCGTGTAACTTTACCAAATTCCTTCATAACAACGTTAAAATGCCAAAATCATAATGGTATTCGAGTATAACTTTCTCCATGATTGTTTTGTTTATAACATTGAACTAAAATACAAAAATAAATGTTTTCACTTAGAAGATAAATGCGTGAAGTGCGCATGCGTAGAACAGATTTGGCAAGTTTGCTTTTGCGTACGTAGCACAAAATATTGGCATCTAAAATTTATCGAACGAAAAAATGACGAACGTTTAAGGGAAGAATTCGCTCAATTGTGAATCTGTTTTGCTTGAAAAGCGACGGATTCTGTTTAAGGACGTTATTATCTATCTATTCATGTAAAAATTGTTTAGCCTCATGAGGGGTGCAACGGAATCGGTTTGCTGCGCCTCTTTAGGATGCTCATCTAACGGCCTATTACATTATGTCCTATTACAGCTATCAATAAGTTAATCTACTTCAACTATGTCAGTGCTTCACAAGCTTTAAACTTGGTATGTTTTGTTTAAGATAAGATGCTAAATTACTTGCAAAAACTCAAGGGACGTCTTAGATATATTTCCCTAGCTAATTAACTCGCATTTTAAATAACATTAAAACGACACCGTTTTAATAAACAAAATGAATGAGCACAAACTTCACGAGGAACTATATTTTATTTCTATTTTGATTTAATTACGTAAAAGGTTGACATTGCTAGTAAAATTTATCCCAGTAGAAGGTAATAATAAGGCTAGAAGGATTTCATCGGACATTTTACATTATTCAAAAAGAATTTTATTAAAAAAATTTCAGGTATGCTAACTCTTACTATAAATGGTATCGGTAAGGACGTCGGCTCATTGTTAACTGGATACTTCTTCAAAAATTGTGGCATCCGAATTACATTGTACGGATATTCAGTCGTCTCTCTTGTATGGTGTATAGTCCTTGTAGTTTATACTTTAAAAAGTCAAGAGGCTCATCATTACGAACGAGTGGAAATAGAAAAAGGAATGGAACTAAAAAATACTAAAGAGATCGTTAAGCAATGATAATGGTGTGTGTTTTGAAGTAACAAAAAATGTATCGTTTAATGATATTTACATATTGAAAAATTCATGGTTAGTACAATTTGTACCGTAACGATTTCTAATTTTGTGATGCATATTAAAAAAGGCCAATGTGTACATGGAAAGAAAGAATTATGTTGTTTTCTGTTTATCTCATCCAGTGGCGTAGATAAGGGGGGTGAGACAAATGGTGGATGCAATCAACAAATAATTATTAGGAAACTATATTTTTTAAGCGTTTAATCTAATAAAAAAATTATGTGGCGTTGAAAGTTTGGCTGTTATCTTGGTGAATACGATATTTAATATATAAAAGAAAGATGTTACAAATTTGTTAACGCATATAAACACAAGAATCTATACTTGAACTGCCTTGCATCAACTTTGTTGATTGCATTCCCAAAAGAACGAGTGTTGTTTACAATTGTCGTCGACACTTTTAGTAGGAAGAGTATTTTACAAAATTCAAATACTTTAGATGTCCTCGTGGTTATCATGCCGTACATTTACTATTCTCACGACTTTTTACGTGTATATGAGACTGTGTAGGAAGGCGTTATTGTTGGTAGCATGAATAATGCAAAAGTTGTTGAAAATTAGGTTTCGAGAAGAATTGAGTCAAACGTGGAAGAATATCAATGTCGTTAAGTCGTGAAGATTGCTTGGAGGTCAACAAAAAACTGAGGATGTTTATCTTGTAAAAAAAAATTGGCCTGATACAAAAGACGTTTCGACAACCTTAGCGGTAGTCATCTACTATCAAAATTGAGTCTGACGTCGAAATGTCAGTCAACAACAACAAAAACACTCCTTCTCAGGACTATACCAACCTGGACGAACTACATTTACAAACATGTTAACAATGTTATTAGGGCAAATCAACGGAACCCCGCCCAATTTTTCGGTTCTGTCTTTTGATGAAGACTTTTTTGTACTGTGATGTACTGATATTCTAGAACGATAGCTTACAGGGTTTGTACATTTAGGTTTCCATAGTGCTTTAAGCAGCAAATTATAGTTTTACTTTTGTTTTGAACACTATGGGGAAGGAAGAAAAAAGGAAGAGGCATATTTATGCCGTAAATAAATTTGTATATTATAATCAAAAGTCTTGACTTTCTTGACTTTCTTCCAAGAACAAAGGAAATTAACAATAAAAACTAATAGCGTGACTTAGTAATCCAAAATATAAAAAGTAAAGTTTAAAAAAAAGTAAATTCACGGTGGAAAATTTTAATCAAAAAATACCCGTTTGAGGAACAATACAAAGTACTCGGGTGAAATATAAAATTATTTTTAATTTAGATAATTATTTCTTTCAGAAAAAATGGGCAAATCATGTGTTCATTTTAATTAATTGAAAGAGTATTCTAACAATGTTTGAAGAGGAAATAATTAAACAATAGAAAAAGTACAGATGTCAAGCACAGAATGATCTCTTTTTCTCCTGATGACATACGCCAACTTGTAAGTATAAATTAGTGGCAGTATGACGGGCTGGAGCAATGCTTTATAATACTGGATGTCATTATCGAGTGTGATGCGTTTTCAGAAATGCTGTACTACTAGTGCTTTTAAATCAGTAAGATGTTCATTTCTCAATTCATTTCGGCAGTGATATGTTGCTGCAACACGTATACCAACTTTATTTAAATATCCTTCCTCATCTCTACGGACAATTTAAAATGTAAAATGTGTAAAATGACGTTCGTGTTACATCGTTTCTTGCGATCGATGGTTAAAAAAGATTAGCGATTTTCTTTACTTTCATTTGCTAAAACCTAATGACTTTTTACAACACACCCATTGTGAAAATGCTATTCTTTTTTAAAACCTACGTCAACTTTAGTGTTAAAGAATGACGAACATTGCAATTGTTTTGCATTTGTTTTGTCAAAGTTATAATTACTAATGGGCGTTTGAAGGCAAGACTGCACACAAATTTTGAAATCAGGAAAACTTTTGAAAAATATAGACAGCGATTATATACATACATTTTACAATATATTTATGCTTCCGCCTTTAAACAGGGAATGAATTAAATATTTTAATCCAAGCTCCACATCTTCTATTTGGTTTATGGAATAAAAAATAAGAAATATTTTTAGAGCAATTTTAGAGGCTGCGCGAATTCGATAATTGGGGGAGGGCAAATATTCATATATGCATGTTCCACCTTAGTAGCTTGTACTTAAATCAATTGTGGTTATGAATTAACAAAGTTAAAGCATACGAATACATGAATATTTGCCCCACCCCAATTATCTAGCTTGTGCGGCCTCTAAATTCCAAAATAAAACTTTATACAAAACTAACATACTTAAATGTAGCATTGTGTAATCATTTGCATATTAGCTATGAACTGTGAATCTATTTCCTTTTAAACCATGTGTATATAAATTGAAAATTACTTGATAGTTTTTCTATTTAAAAATCTTTGTCAAAGAAGGGATCACCATATTTAAAACAAAAGTTTGTAAGCTTTATCTCTTTATATTGCTTCCCATACTTCTGGGATGCAAAAACTATGCTTTTGTCAAATATTTGTAACCTAGCTAAAATTACGTGGCAAATTCCCAATAAAAGGCATTTATGACAAAGAAAAAATAATAAGACAAAGGTTTCGTTATTCACTCCAAACACGCCCAACTTAACCAGCAATGCAAATCGAAAATCATTCTTTAGGGATTAAAAAATTTGTTAACCAAATTTTCTTGATTAGATGGATGATATAAATTGAATTTCATTCTTGCAGAGCAAACACATTGCTCATTTTACGAAGGAATATACATTGGAATAGAAAGAGAGCACAACAAAAAGCAACAGCAAAGGTATTATAAAATGACTTCATGTAATTGTGTCTCGTTTCAAATGTTGTCAGTCATCAAACACAGATATTTTTCCAAAGAATTTTTAACATGTGTCTTAAAATTTGTCCTTAAAGTAATTTGTGCAGTCATATAACATGCATTAAGGTGTAAGTATCTTTAAATCATTTACTAATGTTGAATAACTTGATTTGAGCATCGAAAAAAGAACTACTGAATAATAAACCGAAAAATCTTTCGATTAAAATATTTAATGACGAAGCTTAAAGGGAAGACCTCAATTAACCTTTCGCAAGAATCGAATAACTTTTCTGTGTCTAAACATAGTACCATAGAAATATGTCTGACTTGCTGTTTACTTTAGGATCATTCAACGAAATGATTTCTAAAGCGATCAAAATGTTGATCCTCGTCGCTATAACCTACTCCTCATTGGCAAGACCTGATTTGGAATCAAGAGGACACAGGGCAATGAGGGCAGTCGAGCATGTAAATAATTCAGGCAAAGACATAGAGGAAGTTATCGTAGATGAAAATAAAATGCAGAAACGGAATGAAAATGACTTAAACGTCAATTCAATTACACCAACAAGTATTGTTGCACCAAGCAGCATTGAGTCATCAAACAAAGTTATGGCAACAACTAATATTTTGCCCCCAATCAATACTGTTGTGACAAGCAGTACAATGCTACTAAATAATATTGTGCTTCAAACAAATGTTTCTACAGCAACCAATACTTTAGCGCCCTTATCCGCCTATGTGACATCATCTCACGCTGTAACACAGTCTACTAATACTATTAAATCTACCGAAGCTCTGGAACTAATTAGACCTTTTAAAGTAAGTATACATAAAAGAAAGTATCATGCACTATAAATTAAACGTGTTTGGGGAATAAATTCAACGTGATTTTGGAAATGATTAGCAATTGCCCTCTTAATTCAAATCAACGTCAATAATCCTCATATTAGAAAGATTCATCATTAACAGTTAAATACCCTGCATGCATTTAAAGAAAGGCCTTTTATCATTTATCAATTAAGCTTTCTTCCTACTACAAAAATTTTGTTAAGGCATATACTCCCTTAAAAAAACAAGGGCATTATTAACAATTGTTAACGAAGAAAAAGACTAAACATGCGTGGTTCTTTTTTTATCTTTAGACTTGTCCATTCGATTGCAATCAGCTGTGTATTAAGAAGTATGGAAAATACTATAAATGCAACAAGAAGCTATATATATGCTGTCACATTGGGTGTTTGACATACAATAAATATGTAAAATTAGGCCTAAAACCGTGGCTTTCTTATGTCCTTACGTTTGAGAAAATTTGCAAATGTCGAAGTATGCAAATAATTTAAGGTTAACTTTAACATAGCATCAAGTAGTCGGAATACATTATTAAATTTAAGTGTTAACTTTGCAAAGAATGCCAGCATGTTTAACATATGTAAAATATGGTTGTAATATAAATCATAGTTCTTCAATCTTTTTTTGTTCATTTTTCTATAGCAGATTTCATAAAGTAAAAATAATTGCGTTATTTTGAAATCACTTACCACAACTATACAAAAATATCCTTCTATTTGAAATAGCTTATTAGCCTACGTAATAGAGTGCTCGTATAAATGTTAAAAAATAATTTATAGCCTTATTTTGAAAATTTATGAAAGTTTTGAAACATAATAACTAGAAGTGGAAAAAAACAGAAATTTGTGAATGTCATAAGTTTGACAATGAGTGAAATATGAAAGAAAAGGTTTTCACCTAACAAAAGTGTTCTCAACGGCAACGGAGAATGAAAATTTTTCTTTTTTTGCGCAGTTGCTCATCAGGCAACGTGAAGTTGTTTTAATGGCATATATGACTTCATTCTTGAGTTTACAGTGTAAGTTTATACTGCTGTCAAAATTTTATTCTATAGATACGGGGATTTAGGTGCATTTGATCTATGTTTGAGCTATTTTATTTCTGTGAATAGTTTTAAAGTAAAAAATAAGTTAAAGTTGTTGTAGTCAAAACCTGATACTTTCCAGATTCTATAAAACGCAAAATGCAACCTGAAGCACTTTGACGAATGTAAAGAAATACAAAACCAGTATATGCAGAATATATTTAATTGAATTAGTAGTATGTTATTGCTGTTGGTAAAGTTTCATTGTTAATGTATGGTGGCCGATTGTTCTCATGGCTCGCGATGAAAGTCCATGTGACTTCGACTCGTCAGCTTATCCGTCAGCGTTCAGGCGAACCATGGAAAACCGCCTTTACGGTCGCTTCGCCCGCGCGGGCGGTTTTTTAAGTAAGCGCATGCGTATTAAAGTTCTCTCTCCATATTTGCATCGTTTGCCCAGCGTTTGCCTGAACGCTGACGGATAAGCTGACGAGTCAAAGTCACATCGACTTTCATCGCGAACCATGCGGCGAACAGCAAAAACAAAATGGCGGCTATGGAGGAAGGGATTATGCAGCAAGTGAATCAAGACGAAAACTTGAGTCACTTTCATGTTGTATTACCAGAAAAAGTTGAAGATCACGATTGTATCGATGAACTTTTGATAGAAGGGGTCAGAAACAACGGAATTCTCTGGAATACATCACTACGTAATTACAAAGATATTGCGAAAAAGTCGCAGGCTGGGTTGAAATTACTTCGCGTTTGAAACCGAAGTAGTAAGTTTTGTTGATTGGTTCTGTTTATTGTGTCACTAGGTTTGTACCACCTTTTGCCCAGATTGTTGTTATACTTGAAGTAGACGAAAAAATTGTTTATAAACGCTGAACAGTGAACACTATCACCTACGACTTCACTTGACTCTAAAAATGACTCCTGCTAAAGTTGTCCAAACATCAGTCAACATCAATAGCAACAGTCCTTCTCAGGTCTCTCCTAACCTGGACGATTTTCATCTACAAACATGTTACGAAAGTCCAGAGTTCAAACCATTTACTTTATTACTATCAAGTACTGTCACTGTACCATATGCTATGTCAGATTTTATCTGCTAAGTGAGACTAGTAAACATTTGTTTTCAATAGATATTTTTTCTTAAAATGTTCTCAGGGTCAGGAATTGTGAATTATTTTATTATTTTCTTCTGAGAAAAGAAATTATTTTGCAGGCATGTTGTGTATACTGTTGTACTAAGTGTACTCAGTACTGTGTTTACAGTTTAATCAGATGAAATTATAGTGTTGTTGAGGAAAAAATCTAGAATTGAATTTTTGTATGTAGTTTTGAGATGGGTATGACTTGAAATATTAAAACAAAAGGCATCATCTTTGAATTTACAGAGCAAAAAATGTTGTCTAAGTTTCTTGTATTTTCTATCTATTTTAGATGGAATGCTCAAACGAAGGTGGAAAAACTTACGCGATGGCATGATGCGTTGCTTATGTAAGATAAGTGATGGACTTATATAAGAAAAAGTGAGGCGGGTGCTACAAAGACACCCACATGCAAATTCTTCGAGCAATTATTTTTTTACGTGATTTTGTTTCCAATCGTGAAACAGAAAGCAACATAAACGTTACCCCAATGAATATTCCAAACAATCAGATGCACGAACAAAAAACTGAATCTGCTGCACAGAAATCAGTAAGGTTCACAACATACAAATATGACAGCCCAAAAGAATTTGGTAAACGGAAACTGGATGTAGATCAGTGTGACAAAAAGCAGCCTTATGAGCGATCAAAGAAACATTTTGATCGGCAAGAAAAGATTGACTTGTTGTTGGTTGATGCTTTAACAAAGTCAGAAGATGTGTCAACACAAAAGACTGAAGTCCGCAGTTCAAACCAATTGTTTTGTGACAGCATTGTGGATATATTAGACAAATTGCTTCCTAAGAGCAACCGAATGGCAAGGGTTGAAATTCAAAACATTCTTATAAAGTATGAATTTGTGACTACACGACCCTGTGCGTTTGACAGGCGTGATGTTACAATCATGTCTTGCCATGGCACAGAACCTATTGTTCAGTTGAAATAATCTCTAAAACTGTCTCTGATATTTTTGATTATATTAAATAGTTAATGGATCCAAGATTTGTTACATCCTGAATTATTGACATTCTCCCTTCTCCACCCACCTAGTCTAAGTGAACCATTGCAGTCACGGTCAATAAAGTCAGATGGACAATATGGATTACTTGGAATACACCTGTCAGCCATAAGGTAGTTATGAAGAGCCACAATTGCTTTTGTAGCTTGCACTGCAACGTCAACATCTGCCGTAATTGCTCGTCTGAAAAGTCTGAATCGTGAAGTGGCAATGCCAAAGGCATTTTCTACAATTCTTCTTGCACGGAGAACCTGTAATTTGCAATTCTCTCGGGGATCTGGATCCCCTAGGATAAGGTTTCATTAAATAATTTTAAAGAGGGAAAGAATCGTCTCCAACAAACACATATGGTACACTAATATTGGTCTCAGGAAGCAGTCTTGACTGTGGAAGGTTTAATTTGTTCTGTTCCATAGCAATAGCAAGTTGGCTACTTGAAAAAACGCTACCGTCACTTAGACGTCTATAGTCGCCTGCATCAACTATCATAAATTGATATTTTACATTCACAACTGCCATCAAAACATCACTGTGAAACTTCTTGTAGTTAAAAAACATACATCCTGCTCGTGAAGGACACTGGATAATGATATGCTTACCGTTAATCGCTCCGACGCAGTTCGGGAAATTCTACCTTCTCTCAAAGTCTTGACTCACATCCAGCCATTCTTTAGACGAACTCGGAACAGATAAAAAACCATTTTCTGCCATAACATTCCACAAAGCTTTGCAAGTCGCCCTTATAATTCATCCCACAACAGTATCACTTAAACCGTAACTTGCTGCAATAGTTCTAAAGGCGTCTCCAGTGACCAAATATCTTAAAGTGATGCAAAGCCTTTCTTCAGATCCAATAGCTTCTCTTCTTGCATGCCAGCGTGTTATTTTTGGTGCAACTAAGATCAGTAATTCTTCAAACTTGAAAGGAGTCATACGAAACAAACGAAAAAAAATTCTTTGTCATATAACATAGCTTCTTGAACTAGAGTATTGTATTCTCCTTTTTCTTTCCTTTTTTGTAATATATTCCTTACCCAAAATCTTTTCTTGTATTTTTGTTTTCTTAATCTTCGTCTTAAAAGAATTAGCAGAAAAAGTCGTCGTCGATTATTCAGAGCCGCCATGTTATGGTTAAATTTCCCGCAATCTCTGGCGGAAATAATGGAAATAGAATCCAGCGGGCGGCCAACGCTCTCAAAACAGATTTCACACGCGTGGGCGAAGCGACCATAATGGAAAATCGCCTTAATGTTCTCATAGTCTGCGATAATTGTGGTCATTATCAATATTTCCAATTTTGAATCACTCATTTATTATCTGATTATTCAGAGATTATTCACAACTTTGCAATTTTAGTGTAGTTTTAATGAAGTAGAAGTATATTTTTAAAGAGGAACCTCTTTAAGTATACACGAAAAAAGGTTACGAATAAGCTGTGAGCTGAAACAGAAAATTAACTGACTTATGTATCTGCTCGGAGAAAATATTTTTACAAGTTTTCTGAAATCTCCATACATTGTAAAAAATAACCCACGCTTTCATTCCACTGAATCAAAATTGTTTTTTAATATCTCATTCACGCTTGCACAAGCTATTAAAAATACATGTTTTTACTGTAAAAGGCTTGGGTCTACCACTTTCCTCTTCTTTTTAGTTTTTTTTATGTTAATCGTCAAGTGGATGATAAAAAGCACACATATGACATTTTGGCATAATCGGTAGTCTACTGAACAATTAAAAATTGGCTACGTTTTTCTTATACACCCAGATTCTCTAATCTAATTTGTAGGTGAGATTATGAAAATTGCCTTAAGCAAACACAAGCAGTAAACGGATAATGTAGAAACTAATAGATACGATTGTTCTGCCTCTTTTTGGAGCAAAGGAGGCCACCATTGGTTAATTCACGAAGGGCCCTTAGCGGTTGCGCTAAACCACTGATTGTTCTGCAATCTGTTCGTTTTTATATACGCACTACGTTATTGCATTTTCAGATCAAATGATGGTGGCGCGAGTTGCACAATCGTCTCGAAAAATATTTCAAGAGACAGTTCCTGATGGTACTGGAGCTAGTTCACTATAACACTAACAAAAATGATCACTAATATGAAAAAGTTATATATTTGTCTAAGAACCGTAGGGTAATTGTGAAAAAGTGCAAACTGGAAATAATAAACTTACAAATGAATTGAAGAAACTCTTTTTCCTTTTAGCAGAGATTTATTTGCCTTTGATTACATTCCTGTCATTGGAAAAGAGGTGGAAGTGTTTAGAGAGACTACATGGAACTAACATAAGGTAAGATGCCAGAAGGAAGCACAGGCCTCTAAAGGAATACCAAAGCATTTTTATGCATTTCCTGAGCAATATAGGCTGAGCTATTTGGTAAAGAAACGCTTTTTATTAAATTCACAATTTTATGGCTACTGAATTTTTTTTATACTGACAATGAACAGGTTTCAAAGTAAGCAAGGAAGGCCTTGATCATGTAGCTATTCTTTCTGAAGTAATTACTGTTGGAGATGACTACTTAACTCCAGCCGTGACAGCAGAATGTGAAAGGATAATACCTCAAATAGACAATATTGAGCC